GCGCTGAACACGTTGAACTGCATGCAATACAGTAAAATGTGGAGCTGATGATCAACATACCGGTTGGTTGCCTTTCAAGAAACCCTTTTCGTAGTGGTCAATACTCCTTTGTTATAATGGGGGTGGGTGGGTGGGTTGCAGATGGTAGTTATAGAGAGTATGATATTTATTGGTTGTGCCCTCTTCTCTCACAAGTTCAAAATGCTAAGTCGAAAACATTGATGACTACCCAGCCAAAATACTGCTTTCTGATTGGAATGGTAAGAATACCTAAAATTTGAAAGCAGTATTTTGGCATCATCCCAAACTCAATTATTTATCGATCGGATCAGTGATAGAAAACTTAGAGTTTCACGAGCAACTTGTGAACGCTGAAATCCGCAAAACGTCAGCAAACAGATTAATCGTACATGTTGAAAGAAGCATCTCGATTTGAAGCTTGCGAAGATGCAGCTATAATAACACCTGAAATCTAATTCGAATTGAAAGTATACAGTACCTTTTCATGTCATCTCCGAGCATTACCATGAATAAATTGTTGAAATAGAAAGGATGTGAAATTTTAACAAAGCGTTTGTCTATAAGCTTCCGACGAAGTTATGATTAAACTCGCATGTTAGCATAATACTACCAAGTTTATACCGATATGTGCTGAAAAGACAGTTGGAAAAAGATAGATTCATCATAGAATCAACGTTTCCCTTAACTTAGAAAAGCTTTAGGAATGCCACATAGCTCCGGACGGAAACTTCTACCCAAGTTTTCCAATATGCCAAATGATAAACTTTTACATCTACGGTGAATGTGATTGATCGATGTCGAACGCGCATTTGAATCGGACTGATCACTGATTGGATATTTGACTCAGGTGACCTTGAACAGCCATTCAGTCTGAGCCTATCTATACATGGTCTATTTCCCTTCGATTGAATGTGAGCAAATTCCATTGCTTACACCGTAACTTGCACGTGACTGAGCTTAACTCACATTGCTCCACTCAATTCGCCCTCGATCGTTCGTGCTACATTCTATCATTAACTGTAGGTAAATTGGTCTTTCGGCCTGAAGTATTCTTCAAACCTAATACAGTTTCATTTGTGTAGTGGGACATGCTACCAGCAGTACCGCCGCGTGTAGCATACGGTTTTCTATTTTATGGACACAACATGACTAAGTATGAGATGTGGTTCGCACAATCTGGTTTTGTTCTTCCCATATTTTCCCGCGGCTTCTGTCGTATGTTTATTTACCCTGTGATACTATGCACTTTTCCATATCTGTTGAATTGTTTTAGAAAGCCGCAGATGAAACTGATTTCGGTTATACACATCAAGCATTACAAGATGAACTTCACACTCAATTGGCTATTGAAGAAGAATTGGAAGCAGTCCATGAGAGCTCAGCCGGAGACGTAAGTGATCAATACCCCTTCGGGGCTAAAAAAACTCACATTTTTCTTTACAGGAACGATCCGTTCAGAGAGAACTAAATGAGATTTCGGTAAGTTTGGTGTCTAATCAGATTCGATTTTTGGTCTCATCTGTTCTTCCTTTTTAAACTAACAGAGAACAGTTGATGTGAACAAAGAATGTCTTCACTATCTATCTGGAATCACAGATCTGGAGGATTTTTACTCCGTAAGTCATCGTCCACCAGAGTAACACGATTTCGTTCAGGATTTGACAACTATCAACGCCAAGCGCGTTTTGGATTTGGTATCTCACAAGATGAATTCACGTTTTTGGAAGCGGGTAAGTCACATCTGTATGTGTGTGTGTGTGTGTGTGTGTGTGTGTGTGTGCGCGCATAAATTAGAGTCTATTCAAACAACTGATTGCGTTAGGTGAATAATTTTATGCAACCAGGTGGCTCAGGTCATTTTCATTGCCATGCGCCGGTCTTCCGGATCTGCTCTGTTCGAATTTCGATGCAACGGGGATGATAATCGGAGCAGGTATCGCACATCTAGCTCACTGAACTAAAATTGCTAAATAAAAGAAAAACATGAACAATGAGTCATTGTGACTACGTACTTTGCCGTTCCTCCCACTATAGATTATGTACTACAATGTACTCAACCAGCTGTTTCGCCCTGTGAGAACGGAGAGTGTTCACTTGAATTTCCGTGTCTTCCATCGGAGGGTAAATTAAAAGTTTGATCGTTGT